ATTAAAAGGGGCTGAGTAAACCGTTTGTGAATACAAAGTTCACGTTTCTCCTCACTAAGGCTCACTAAGACTTCAGGTGTATGAAGAAGATTTAGGTGAAATCCTTCCAAACAGCTTAGTCGTACCTTTTATATAACTCTGAAAGTAGTCTCTGATGATGCTACACGACCAGGAGTAATAATCTGCTGACTATTCTACGTTCTCCATCTGACAGCCATTTTGGTAAGCAGTCAGAGGCACGTCTAGGTAGTGTACTTCTGTTACAGTTTACGTGCTTAGCTTCACAGCAGCAGATGAATTGGTAAGCACACACCGAGGTTGCTAACGCAGGTATCTTTTCCTTTGATGTTTTGGTGAATAAAAGCATATAATACTCTTCGAATCACTTCGGGAAAGCTCACCAATAGTAGCTCGCTTGAATTTCAGATTTACAATTACTAGTCGTTTGTTCAGTGCACCCACGTTTCGTGGGGGTATTTGGTCTTTGTCTTTAGACGTTTATCGATGAAGGAGGTTAGTTATCGATTTTTCATTAGAGTTTTTCCAAAGGATTTCAATTCCTTATGCATTATTCGTCTTCAGACGAAGGGATTTCTTTTTCTGCTTATTGGAACGAAACTGTGATAGTTTGTCGTCTATCCATTACAGTTTGGTTTGCAGTAGATTGATTGAACATCTAGGAAGGATAATTTGCCTTTTATTATTATTATTGTTTTCTTTAATTCCTAGAGGAACATAGGGCTTCAGCCGTGCGTCTCCATTGCGTTCGGTTCTCTGCTAGAGTCTTCACCTGGCTCCAAGTCTGCCCACACACTTTCATCTCCTCTTCACATGACCTCCTCCAAATCAACCTTGCACTGACGACCAACTCGCCGCTTCCCTTTCGGGTTCCACTCGAGCAATGGCTTGTCTAGTGATGTCACTTGATGGTTTCCTCAGAGTATGGCGCCAATCCATCTCCATTTCTTCCTGCCTATTTGTTGCACAATTGGTTCCTGGTTTGTTGGTTCGCTCCCAGAGATCCCTCCTTGTTGCTGATCTTTTCTGGCCGGCCATCTGATCTTGAGTATTGAATATTTGCCTTTTGATTCCTCTTAAATTTTGAATTCGACTGATTGTTGAGAATTGTTGAAGACTTGCAGGAGTTTGTTCAAGTGAGTATTTTCATTGGTGCTGCTAGAGAAGTGGTGATGTGACACGCACAAGGTGTACCAACGGAATGTTATTCTCACATGTTCCCACAGTTCAATTCGGCATTAGCAACGGAATACTACGTATGTCTATTTGAACATTCTATTTCATGTCGTTTAATGTAAACCAAAATCACGCGCTCAGTGATTGGTTAATGAATATAAACTGTATGCACATAAACAGCAGTTTGATTAATGGAAAATATACTTTGGCTTCCGTATCTTGCCTTCCGCTGTCACATTTGGCGTCGCTGCCTGCCGGCAAATGGCAAGCCTATGCCCTGCAGTTTTTGATGGACACATATGGATCTTCTGACAGGACTTCAAGGCTGTTGCGCAGTTGAATGGCGTTCAAGATCTGTCGGCGATAAGGCTGTTACTTGGAACGCTGCTAGTAGGTCGGACGAAGGCAGCATAGGATAGTTGACACGAAACGCTGCCGAATACGCGCTAGGGTTATGCAAACTGCTTCCAAAGTGGGAAGGAGCTTATTACATAGTCACCGTGAGACGGAGTCACGTATAAAAACTATCAGTAATGCAAACAAAGGGAAATGGGTTGACGTCAGCGAGCTCCAGAAGTGGATACAGCAGGATAAGCAAACAAAGCCACTCGCAGCAAGAGGACCGAACCGACTTTAGTCGACAGTCTTTGATGGGGGGGACGAGTGTGGTGGTGGGTAACAGACGGTGTGTTCCAGCGGAATATCATTCTCGCATATTCTCACAGTTCATTAGTGCGTTAGCAACAGAATACTATGTATCATATTTGAACCTTCTATTTCATATCATTTGATGTAAACCGAAATCGCACGCTCAGTGATTGGTTAATGAATACAAATTGTAGATATATAAACAGCGGTTTGATTAATGAAAAATATACCTTGACCTCCGAGTCTTGTCTTCTACTGGTGCAGAGATATCATCTATATATTATTATTGTATCCTTTAATTCCTAGAGGAACATAGGGCTTCAGCCCTGCGTCTCCATTGCGTTCGGTTCTCTGCTACAGTCTTCACATGGCTCCAAATCTGCCCTCACGCTTTCATCTCCTCTTCACCCTTATACCTACGACCAACTCGCCGCTTCCCTTTCGGCTTCCACTCGAGCGATGGCTTGTCTAGTGATGTCACTTGATGGTTTTCTCAGAGTATGGCCGGCCAATCCATCTCCATTTCTTCCTGCCTATTTGTTTCACGATTGGTTCCTGGTTGGTTCGCTCCCAGAGATCCCTGTTGTAAACTTCAAGAAGGATGAGGAGGATATTTGTCTCAAGAAATGCCACAAAGTAACAGCTGAGCAATCGACCAAGTGGAGGAGCCATTGCTACTTCATCCTTCTTTCGGCCAAAGTAATAGTCTTAAATGAATGCCTGCCTACACAACTTGTCTTCAAATTAAGCGGTCTCGCCATTTTACTTAATTACAGCAGACAAACAACACATAATGTTGACATTTACATTAAATCTTTAATTAGTTAGTAAGCAAGAAAAGCGAATACAATTTATAAATCAATAATACAAAATACATTTTTTTAGGATTAGTTAGCTAGTTAGTTAGTTAGTTAGTTAGTCAGTCAGTTTATGGAAGAAGATAGAAAATTTAGATTACAAAAGAATATATGTACGTATAATACGAGTTGACTAACAATGTAGTATGGCTGTTGTATTTGAATGCCAAGTTTCAGTGTGTCTGTGTGTGCATGTGGGTGCACATGTGTGTACTGTTGTAAGGATGTTAGATTTTACGTGGTGAACAGGATTCAATGGAAGTAACAAAGGCTTTTTTTATTTATAGCTACGCCGACTGAGATAAATAAACTGGGCAGTTGTTTCTGAAGAGAAACATAAGCTACTCGAAAATGATCCTTGAATTCTAACTTCTGCCCATTCACGACATAGCGCGACCATTTCGCGCAATGTCTTCTTCGATGAGTTGCTGCCTCATCTTCAACCTGCTGTACCCTACTGGTCACGGCTTCCCACTAGAACCCCAGGTTAATTGCCTGAATAGGGCCAGTCGCTAGTGAGCATCAGATTAATTTTCAAGTATTGGTTTTGTAGGGATTTTGTTTGATCGCATGGAGGTTTTTTTTATCATGAGCTGACATCAGTTGTAGAACCACTGGAAAACCAACTGGGAGTACTGGACAGCTGTTCATATCGTCTTAGTTTGGGACTCTTCGTCAGTACGCACCCACCCCAAAGAGTTCGAACCCAGGACCTTCTGGTTGCAAGGTGAGCTCGTATACCTGTGGTGAGAGCTGTCTACTAGCCAAATTGGTAGACAGTAATTTACGTCAATATTTACGTTCCCAAGATTTGTCGTGAGAAAATGTGAACAAAGATTCATTCAAAACCGACCACAGCAGACTTTGCGTAGGCGGATACAGTTAACATATAGAGGATTTGACATTCAAGAAACAGTCACAAATAGATGAAAGATTAACTTTACGTGAGAAACAACCAATCGGAAGACTGTGTTTGTTTGCTTAAATATCCATAGTAGTGTACATGAAAATATATAAATATGCGTTGATTTCCTTGATAAATGATCTGTTGCCTGGCCCTTGTCTTCTGTTGTTACATACCATTAAGCCATTGGGACCCCATCCAATGGTCCTTGAATTCTAACTTCTGCCAATTCACGACATAGCGCGACCATTTCGCGCAATGTCTTCTTCGATGAGTTACTGCCCCATCTTCAACCTGCTGTACCCTACTGGTCACGGCTTCCCACTAGAACCCCAGGTTGACTGCCTGTCCAGTACTCCCAGGTTTTCCAGTGGTTCTACAACTGCTGTCAGCTCATGATCAAAAGAAACCTCCATGCAATCAAACAAAATCCCTACAAAAGCATTCCCTACTCTCGTAATCATCTAAAATCATTTACAACCTGCTAATTTGCAAGTCTCTACTAAACTTGAGAAAAAACAAACTTCTGGGTGGCAATGCATCCCAGTACATGAGATAACTTTCCGTAAGACTTTTAGTGCAAACTACCACTGCCTGAGAAATAAAACTACCTGCAGTCTTCAATTGCTATTATTATTATTATTATCCCCTTAGGTTCCAAGTGCATCGGTAGCACAGTGGTAGAATGCTCGCCGACCACATCTCATATGGTTCGGATCCTCACCTTCTTCTTCTATTCTCTACTAACTTCTTCAGCTGACCAGGCCCACGATCGCCCACAATTTATAGTCTACTCCCACTTTGAAAACGATCTCCAACATGTCACCCTCGCAATGACGACCAACTTGTCGCTTCCCACTGGGATTCCACTCGAGCGATGACCTGCATTGAGCGCCATGTCATTTGACAGTCTCCTAAACGTATATTCGATCCATCCATCGCCATTTTCTCCTACATATTTGTTAATCAATTGGCTCTTGGCTGGTTTGTTCCCGACTGAACAGTTCCTGCTGAACTTGAGAAGAAGCCTAATCATGGGTGGTAACGTTCTCCAATATATGAGATATGTCTTTGGGTCTGAAAATGTAATCCTGAAAGTTATTTAATCGGCTTTCAACCATTAAATGTTGTGCATTTCTCCAAGGGGACAAAGAATAGATATCGTGATGGATTGGTCTGCACTTCAGGTCAGACAGAGCTGCGAGACATGGTCTACTGTCAATTCATAATCTTATTTCAATATCCTGGACAAAGAGGAAACTGAAGCAGTAAACTCCACTGAAAATGCTGTACATTATATAAATACTGTCCAAAACAAAGCTATTATTATCAATAACGATTTACTTGTGAATTAATCCTCCTCTCCCCCTATTCCATTCCTTTCTTTGTCTTCTCAGGGTCCAGATGCTGAATACTTTGAACTAGTAAATCATACTGTCGAGTCATCACGAACAGCTCACAGTTCACTACTACATTCAACACCAAGAAATATCAAATCACTACATTTAATAAGTCGTTTCCCCCTAGATCGTGAACACAAGTCAGAATATCGATTAATTCTGCTAGCCTACGATCAATCAGAACAATTTCAAAATCGTCATACATCCCAGCTGCCTATAAGTATTCAGATAAAAGAAGTGAATGAATATCCACCAATATTTAATCTGGGTATAAATATAACAACACCACAATATGGTTTCAATAATCAATTCTCATTGAACAGTGATTCAAAATATATTGGACATTCAAATCGATTTCATCCACAAGTTCAAATTAAATCGTTTTCAAATCATTATTTTTCAGAAGCTGAGAATAGCAGGCAAGGAGGAGCAGGAGGAGGAGGAGAAGTGGCAAGTGGTGTTCAGTTATCTGATATAAATTATTTAATCCTTGGAATACCAGAAGATATTAATGTTGGCAGTCGAATATACTGTGTACAAGCGATAGATATTGATTCAATTGATTTTTCATCTTTTACTAGCAAAAATACTAATCAATATCCTTATCAATATCAGCAGCAGCAGTACCAATCAATAAAACATTATCCACACAATACTGTACATTATTTTATAGCTCAAGAAACTGATCTTGTTGTAAAGCATTATTTTCGTCTTGGTAAAGAAGACGGTTGGATAACGCTGATTCACCAGTTGGATTATGAAACTAGCCGGCATAATTATATTCTGCCTATAGTGGCTGTCGATTTTGGTCGTCCACAGTTGAGTAGCACGCTGACACTGACAATACAAGTTATCGATGTGAATGATGAAGCGCCGAGTATAAGTATCCGTGGAATTGAACCGACTAATATTGCCAGTCGATATTATCATCACCATCAGCAGAACCAGCAACAACAAAGTACAATGTTAGATAATTTTAGTCCTGGACGATTTCAGATATTGAATGTTAGAGAGAATTCACCAGCGGGGACTTTCATTGCAAAGGTAAGACACCTGTCTACAGTTTGAATCTATATTCCATGTTTTGATATGCTTGTATTCTCTGAGCTGGATAGTCAATTGGCGAAGCTTTCATCGCCCTACTTACTAGGCGACATCTTCAGCGCATACTTCAGTTTGAAGTGAGCTTTCAGATTTCTCCACGAGTTTATTAATCATCTTTCCTGACGGGTGACCTTGGACGTGATTGGTTGTTTTTGTGTGTTTTCAAGCATTCTAGGTTATTTGTATTGTAATTCATTGTTTCTATGACTTGAACTTTGACCCTTTGTGTGTGTGTGAGGTTTCTTTCTTATCGGTTGATATATTCTATCTATCTCGATGTGTCTATTGATTGATGATTCACTGGAATACCAGACAGGCTTCTAAAAATTCTCTAGCATTCTTGTTGTTTCCTCTGTCTACTATTTGAACGTTGTCCCAGTCGAATTGATTTCCGTGGTTGTCTGTATGTAGTGACATGAGGGAGTGGAGAAGTCTGAAAGCTCACTTCAAATTGAAGTATGCGCTGAAGATGTCGCCTAGTAAGTAGGGCGATGAAAGCTTCGCAAATTAACTATCCAGCTCAGAGAACACAACCATATCAAAATCATTCACCTGAGCTACAAATCTTCTCTATCATATCTATATGCTATGTTTACTTAGTAGGAAGTAATTTGCTGTAAAGGTACCACACTTGACAATCTATTATTACTCTCCCCTCGGAATCCTAGTAGACAGAACATAGGGTTTCAGCAGGACGTCTCCACTTCACCCTGCTCTCTCCTCCAAGTCACCTTTGGCCGAACGACCAACTCGTTATTTTCCATTTGGGTCCCAGTCGATAGATGGTCTGCACATGATAACATGCAGCGATCTCCTTAGTGTGTGACTAGTCGGAATATTTGTCGAGCGACAGGCTGTAGATTAGTTCTTCCCCATAGTTTCTTGTTACTGACTCTTAATGGTCAACTACATGATTTTCAGCACGCAGCTGCAGAAGGCAGCAGTTAATAAGAATCCGCAGTAGCCTATTAGAAAGGTTTCTGATGACGTGTGAGTCAAGAGGAACTGACTGACTGACTTAACATTGGTGTTGAAAATTTGAATCTAGTTCTTTGTGTGGAATGCTGTTGATTTCCAAGCGGGTTCCACATTGATATAAGTCTGTCTTGCCTTGCCAGTTATAGATATTCTAAAATTATGTAGGTCCTAGGCGCGTCAGTTCTCTCAACATTAGGTAGTTGCCCTAGCAGCCTACTGGTACGACTGAATTCGGGATTCGCAAATCATACTGCTCCGTATGAAGATATACCGCAGTTCCCTCTTGGAAACTTGAAATATTCAGATCATAATATATATGATCTACTTGGTACTACAGTTGGCAAACAAGAAACCAGATGGTGTAGCATGATGGCATATACATACTGCTCCCTGAAATCAGTCGGGACGAGTACACCGGAGATGAGCTGCATAGCAAACCAGCGGAACGGCAGTCCGGTGTTTTATATCAGTTCGATTTGACCGAGAAAAAAACACTACTCGTCAATGAGGGTAGTAATTTCCAACTTCTCGTATCAAACAATAGTATGCTCCATCAGGCGTAGTTTTACTGTACGGTAATCTACTAGAAAACGTTTCGAAATCAAACTAGGTACACTAATCAGTACAGATACTATATGTGAAAATTTAGTACAGTAATGGTAGCTGGTTAACTATTTTGATGTAATTTTGGTGGATGGTAAATAGCAATGGGATCCTGAATGCGCATTTTGTCCTATCTAGGATTCTTCATCTGTTGGATGTACCAGCATTTCCTAGTGAGTTATGATGTTCCGACTAGGGCTCGAACCCAGTGCCCATCATTTCATATGCCAAAGCAGACTCAGAACGTTTAGGTCCAGTCAATCAGGCGGAAAATAGACATCGAATCAAGGATGCAGATTATCATAAATAATTTTGTGTGCAGCCTGTCAGTGTTACGGTATTCTCTCTCTTTTCCTTCGTTACATCGAAAAATAGGCGAATGCTAACCTGATTTTGATTTTCGAGATTTCTTTCGCCTTGTGTTTCTGTCGACTCTTCTTACACCTTTTAGGATCAACGTTTTCAAGAGTAATTTAATAGGAATTTGATTTGTCTCAGCTTTGACCATGGAGTACTGGATGACTGTTTCATCCACACTCGACACTCTTCAGCAGTACTCACCCCACACCTCCAGGAATCGAAGCCGGGACCTTCAGGTTACGAGGCCAGTCAAACTGACCGTTTACCCCCTTGGACCGGAATTCTGTGAACCGCGAATTCTCATTTCTATCAATTCACGATACATGTAGTGCAACTGGCAGTCAATGTCTCCACACCAGACTTCGTGGAACCCAGTCGGTCACGCCTTCTCACTAGAGCTTTAAGCATCTTCATCTTGTAACTAGTCAGTAAAGAGCATCAGAAGTTGGAATTCATGGGCCATTGCACCACATCTCAGTGGCCGAATGCTAAACGAGCTCGCCTTGTAACATGAAGGTCGTGGATTCGATTCTTTACGCTGGGGTCATGGGTGCGTATGGCTGAAGAGTCCCAAATGGCGGCGAAACAGTACTTTTATGTGATTATTCAACTGGTATACTGTCTTGATCAATGCTTCCTGTAAGTCCAGTTGAAACAGCACTGTAAATGAGTAAGATTCTTGTCTGGGTTGATGATCCACACCGATGCCTTTGTAACTCACAGCTAATCTACTCACCACTATTTCAGTAGTATAATATTCTATGCTTAATTTCCTCTCTATATTGTTCTACAGGTATCCGCCAGAGATCGTGATACTGGGGCTGCAGGAGAAGTTGAATGTTATTTAAGTGAAGCAGAAAATTTCAACAGGAATCCTTCAAACATCGATCTGGCATTCATCTTAGAAAAGTCTAATGGCCTACACAGCGTAGGCTTACATTCAACTGAAGAGAAGACCATCCCTACAACAGCCACCATCGTATCAAATAACAATAATGAACAAACTGTCCCGTCGGCATACACCTCACACTCATCATCACCATCGTCAGCAGCAGCAGCATTAAATGTACTCGGACGTCATGACACTGAATACATATTAATGACACGAGAAAGTTTAGATCGTGAACTGAAAAGCGCCTATTTTATTTATCTAACTTGTCATGATCAGGTGGTAGATAAGTTCGACAGCTCATCAATATTCATAAACAGTCAGTCCGCAGCAACACCAACTGCCTTAAAACGTCTTTCATCAACAAAACTGTTAAAAATCAATATTTTAGATGAAAATGATAATGGCCCAGAATTTGACAGATTACGATATGAAGTGAAAATTCTTGAAAATTCCATTGAGAATACAGAATTAATTAAATTGAATGCTATCGATAAAGATGCAGAGAATCATATAGCTTATCGATTTGCTCAATCAACCGATCAATTTATACAAAATTATACTGATTTAGCCTTGAATTTAATTGAAAAATATTTTAAATTAGAAAATAAATCTGGATCAATTAAAACAACTGGTACACCATTGGATAGAGAGAGTAGAGATACGCTTTTAATTCCTGTTATAGCCTATGATGAAGAATATCCGAGTAGGACATCTCATGCATGGATCAGCGTTCAGGTAGGCGATGTCAATGACAATACACCGATATTGACAGGAAATACAACATTTTGGATTGATGAAGAAGGAGCAACTACAGACCATCTGACCACTAGCGGCAGTAGCAGTGGTAGTTCTATAATCACCTCCAAACAATATCAGGGTAGTTATCAAATATTTGTGGGACGTTTAACCGGTGAAGATCAGGATATTGGTGAAAATGGTCAAATTAATTTTAAACTAGGGATAAACAACTCGAATAGTCCTCACAGTCGACCGAAATGGATCCTGCGTTCTGATGGTATGCTTTTCGTCCAATCGACAAGGCTGCATAACACTGCTGGTACCGTTGGTAATAGGGGTGATGATATTCCTAGTTATTTTTTAGATCGTGAAACAACACCGGTCCATGAAATTCCAATAATCATTAGTGATTTAGGCAAAAATCCTACACTATCGTCTACAGCTACAGTCACTGTCAGTTTAAGAGATATTAATGACAATTCCCCTCGATTTGTAAAACCTCCACATCATAATTTAAATATGAATTCAAATTCAAATTTTATGGATAAAGACACCAGTCATTCATTGTTAAATATTCCTAAAAGTTTAATATCAAATATACCAAGTGAACGAATCAATATTCTTCGCATGGATAATTCAAATCCTGGTGCATTGATTTATACTGTACAGGCTATTGATCCAGATGAAGGGGATAATGGTAAAGTTGTTTATAAACTTGATGTATATAAAGGTTATTGGCAGTTAACGCACAATGCAAATCAATTAATCAATAAACCTGGTGGTGGAATAAATCAATCTTCAAGTGATTATTATTTTATTATTGATCAAAATTCTGGTGAAATACGTCTCAATAAGGCAATCAATGTGGATAATTTACAAAAATTACCAAAATGTCTCATTATATTTGCTGAAGACTGTGGAATTCCACCGAGAAGAAATTATGCCTTGTTGTATATTGATATTACTACTGATGAAGAAGGTGAAGAAGCACGGGGAGGAGGGGGAGGAGGCGAAGGGATAAAACAGACAAAACTAAACGGTCAATCAATAAATAATAATAATACAGGGGACAATTTAAACTCTCTTGATCGATTCATCAATATCAGTAATTCTAATAATAAAGAGTATAAAGATAAGCTAGACAGGGTCCATTTTAACAATAACTTACAGTCAAAACTATCGACAGTTGACGGTATCCACATGTATCCCCATTCAAATTCACTGTCTACCTCTAAGAAGATGAAATATACTCAATCAGCCAATACAAGACTGTCATCCTCCTCCTCCTCCCTATTTTCTCCGTCAAATGATCTCAGTGTTAACACTGATGATAATGTCGACGGAGTAATATCAAATTTTCAAATTTTAATGAATAATGGTGAATCAGAACCAGTGAGTACATATCATACAAGTGCTGAAATGATTACAGGTTTAGGCATTGGATTGGTGATTATCATTCTAGTTTGTCTGCTACTACTAGTAACCTATGCTATCCATGGAACACAGAATATTCGGCTGACAAGGGGCGGTACTACACATTCAACGCGTACAAAAGTTAACAGTACTACTCTAGGGAAACAGTATAGAAATGTTCAGATGAAAGGTGGAACAAGTAAGTAACGGATTTTTAAGGTCAGATTGTGTACAAAAAACTTCTGTTATTTATTATTCTAAGATAATCTTTCCTGCACAGTTCCATACTGTATTATTACTTACAAATTGTAAGACATTTGTGTGAGGTTTTCAAGACATCGTCACAAAAATCAAGTTAGTTGGAAAAGGAAAAAATGCCAGGCAGTGGGGTTATGTCATTAATTAGAAATCATTCCAACCCAATGGTGATGGCGAGCCACCTAGTGGCACGGTGGCCATGTTGCAAACTTGACTGAGAGAATTCCGTCTGCAGTAAACAAAGGACTAGACATATGACAATCGTTAGTATCCAATCAAAAGTGGTAGTTTGTACTAAAATTCTCATGGAATTTTATCCCATGTATTGAAATACCTTGTCACTCAGGATTTCGCCTTTTCTCAAGTTTAATAGATACTCGTGAATAAAAAGACAGTTGCAGCGAAGAAAATTTTCTTTTCGACGAAGTCATCAACTAGGCAGCTGTACATTCGTGTATTTATATCAAATGGATGGGAAAGTTCCAGAATAATTTCCGGTTAAAGGTCAAATTAATAGAAATTACAATTAGGAATTAGAATGCCATAATAAACAGGGGGCAAGGATAAAACTCAAACAAAGTAGCATAATAACTAAGAAGATTGACATTGTGCAATTGGGGGTCAGAAATGTAAAAATAACAAAATATACAGGATGTTTGGATAAAAAACTAGTGTGATGAATAATTGTTTATGCAATCAGGGATTAAATATATAGAAATAGTAAAATGACAAAATAAACAGGAAGTGCGGATATGAAAATATGGTAGTGTAGACAGGGATTAAGAAAACTTAAAATAACATGAATAAACAGGAAGTTTAGATAAGAAAGGCGATGGGATGGTCATTATTAAAAAATTTTTACCTGTTTACGATGGCCATGGCAGGGACAGGGGTTGGACGTATTTCTTTTGGATACAAAGGGTGGGTTTGAGTTTTTGGATAGCTAACGCCTCAGCTATGCCCAAATGTCTTGATTTCACTCCCTTTGATAGGTTTGATTGAACCTTGTATATTACTTTGAAGGAATTTTCGAAAGGCGCTGAATGTCCTGAGTTGACCAGATGTTCTGTCACTGAACTGTATACACGTTTTTGCTCTCCTTTTACTAGCCAGGCTGGGTAGTGTTCACGAGCGCGTTTTTCAAGTTGCGCATGGCACGGCCGATGTACTCAGCTCCACAAGAGCAAGTAAACTGGTATATGCACGTTGAGTTGGCCCAATGCGACAGCTTGTCTTTCGCATTCTGACTGAACAGTTTCTTGCAGGAAAACGTCAGTCGTAGGCTTGCACTAGAGGTGATATTTCAATAGATTTTTAGAGGCTGACGGTACTGACGTTCACAGATAGTACGAAGTATACTAAGGCAAGATCTAATACTCACAATTTCTATAGTATTCGTTCCGCGTAGACCAAAGGCGAAGCAAAACACGAGATATATTTCGGGAGCAAATCGGAGTGCGAGATGATTGCTTAGCTGGCTAGTGATCGTGCACGAACGTGACACGATGGAGTACGAAATGGCGTGGATGCTTGACCGGAAGCCTTCAGCTGAACAAGTCGACTTAAACAGTGAGGGTCAGCATCCAATGCTCAGTGATGAGTGCTGTGGTCATTAATTCCGGGGAATTATTTACCGCTACAGATTAAAACGAAGTGAAGAGGAGAAATTTTGCATGCAATATATAATGATGGAATATTTTTGTAGCTCAGGTTTCAAATAGCCCGCCTCTGATGCAGAATGATTTTTATGTTATTTACGATTCAATTTATAGTCTGTTTACTTTGAAAAAAACTTTTTATTTTAGGCACAGATGCTACTGACAAGAAAAAGTGCTTTGATCAAGGAAAGAAATGGAAACAGCTCTGTAATGCTATGCGTTTCTCAATCAATTCTAACACTTCAATGGTAGGTTACTTTAAGTATATGTTTGTGTGTGTTTATTGGTGAATATGTCTCAGTGACTCAGTGGTTGAATACTGTTCAACCACACTACATATGGTCTGGGTTTCGTTTCCCTCCCACTGAATGCACTCCTTAAACTCTCCTAGCCAGAATTAAGTACGGTAAAAAGGGGAGGTTGAGCGTGGTGATGATAGCAACCTTTGATTGCAAAGAAAACAACCATTTCGACTTGCCAAACTCCATGTACCACCCAAAGGAGGACAAAGCGAGGCAGAGGAAGAGAGATTCAGAATAACTATGATAAGCAGAAATGTGAGAGAGAGAGAAATAGTCGTCACTTGGACAAACAAAGAGTGAATTCATGGCTGCTACTGAGAACAATATCACCAATTGTCTCGAGCCATTGGTTCTTAGAATCCAGAGGACCTCAAACAGACAGTGTACACCACCTATATGGCTCAAGTTATCTGTTAGGGACTTCAGGAACCGGTTCCAAATTTTCATCTGACCATCACCACCAGCTCTTTTCCAACCTGATCCATCCTATGTCAGCTAATATTGGCTGTCGAGGAAGACGATGGCTAGGTAAGCATAACACTTCGTAGCAATCTAAATCGATATGGTTTCGCAGCCTCATCGACTTACTTTCCCTCCTTACTTAGCTCTTGATGCCCAACGTGTATATTACTCATCCTGTTATACAACCTAGCATGGGAGATAGAATACAGACACCTTTTCATGTCTTCTACTTTCAATAACTATGTCTGAAAGCCATGAAGGAGGAATGAGAGAACTTGTGATTGGTACGCACGCCCTTTGACTTACAGCCGGATATCACGTCTACGTTAGCAACGTCTATGCTAGTAAACCCACCACCTAAGAAGGTAAACACTGCCACCACCCGATTGCTGAAACTTCAAGGCTTGAAGTTTGAATTCTTTTGCTGCACACGGAAATCAAAGTAAATGAAGGCAGTGACTTTTGCAACATCGTCAGCTGTCTTTTTCATTTTGCTTAATGCGTCGCTTCAGGTGTACTTGAATGCAACTTCTTTAGCGGAATTTACTGAGTGAGGGATGGACTTCAGGATTCAAAACATAAATGCATCCTCCTAATGAATAAAGTCCTTCTTGAACAGCGTCTTTTATTACCTCAAGAGTTACTGTTGAAATTATTATTATGATTAAGTTTTTATTTCAATCCACTGCGTTCCCAGTGGGATATACAGTGTAGCGAAAAACCTGAGCTTTGAAGTTTCAGTGGCATTAGTGCTTATTTTTTACAGGGTGTGGTTGCTAAACTCCCATCTGACCTTCTCTCTTTCCTAGGCTTTCTACCAGCTAAGCGAGATTTAGGAGGGCGTCATCCAGGGATCGAAGCCAGATCACACGCGTGGTTGGCGGTATTCCACCACTGAAGGTTAGATACTTCAACTTCATTGACTTTGAGAAGGCCATCGACAGGGTCGACGGCGAAGTAATTTGGGAGCTACTTCAACACTGTGGAGTGGCCCAAGTCTTCATCAACCTCATTCAACAGCTGTATAACAGTGAAATATGTCAGGTGATCCATAGCGGAAAACTCAGTGAAGACAGGAGTAAGAGAAGGCTAGCTATTATCATAGATGATATTCGTTATTTTAGTGAAGTGAAGACAGAAATACATTGGACCTATAGGAAGAATCCAGAAGATATGGGACTTTGTGGAAGATTTATGTCTAATGTCACGCAAATCCGGATTTCTACAGCCAAAAACCAACAAGCTGTCAGAAGAAGCGGCAAAGACAGGACTCCAAGTGACCATAGAGAACACGGAGGTGATGGAGATAACCAGCCCACAACAGCAAATACCAACCACTATCAGTGGAAGAAATTTAAAAGAGGTCATCTCCTTCACCTGCTTTGATAGCATCCTTTCAACTACAGGTAGACGGCACGGATCAGGATATCAAAGGCGGGATCGGAGAAACAAGGATAACCGTCCTTAATCTGAAATCAGTGTGGAAATCTGCTTCGATAGGCATAAAGAACAAGATTCGAATTTTCAACTAAAATGTTAAGTCGGTCAGTTTTTCCATATAGGTAAGAAACTTGACGCGTTATGAAAAGCAATTCGAACAGACCACTGCTGCAGACTATATCAATAGCTGCCTCCTTCTCTAGTTCCGTACTGAAGATCAGATGGCCGATGAGAAATAATTAGCAACAAGAAACTCTGACAGGGGACCGGTCAGGAGTCTATTGTTCAGTCACTGTGTAGAAAAAACAATGGAGGTGGGTCAGAAACATACTGAGGAGACCGTCGAGTGACACCACGCACCAGGTCAGCCCTCGAGTGGAAGCCGAATGGGAAACGACAAGTAGAGAGTTGGCTAGAGGGTGACATGGAGGAGATCGTGGGAGGAGAAGATGGAAGGTTATGGGAAATAGTGGGGTCAGCTGAAGAAGACTTCAGAGAGCAAGATGAAATGGAGATGCACTGTTGAGATCCTATTCTCCACTTGGAACCCAAGGGAATAATAATATTCTAGGGTTCCGCTAAACGACACTATATTCAAATTGGACTAATGAATATCGTCTAAAAGCACGACTCCCCAACCAATTACAGTTTTATGCACCACTATACATGACCTACTTATATTACTTATTGATTAGTGAAGCGCTGACTAATCTTCAAAGCCTTCATCACTTCGTTATGGATGCAATACATTAAGAATTGATTCTCAATTACTCAAACTCAACTAACAAAACATTCGAACAGATATCCCGTAGAGGCCGCTGGCAGTGGTGTAGAACAGCAACACTTTTTCTTCTGCATGACATTAGTCAGCATTCTACCTAGCTATAACATATTAGAAGACCACTGTGCGGAACTAAATGCCGTCTCTGAACTAAGTTTGTCTCGTAACAAGTAATGGGTATGTATAATAGAGAAGATTTGCAGCTCAGGTGGATGATTTGAAAGTAGTTCTGTTCTCTGATTTGGTTGATGGTTTAATTGCGAAGCTTTCGTCGTCCCACTTCTAGACAACATCTTCAGCGTCGGTTTTAGTATAAAATGAACTCATTTCAGTACTACATGAATGATATAACTGTGTCTCCTAGCAACCATCCTCATGACTGGTAGTTGATTTACATCTCTCTCTACTGATGATCATTTTTATTTACTTGGAATCTGAACTTTCTTGTCGCATGATTTACTTTTTATTAGCTGGTATATTTGGTGTATATTAATATGTTTGTTAAATGCTGAATCCCAGTGGGTGCGTACTGCCGATGATTCCCAAACTAGGATGAAACAGCAGCTGTCCAGTACTCCCTGGTTTTCAATGGTTCTCTAACTGATATCAGTCCGTGATCAACTCGTAAAATGCTGATTCACTTGAGTACCAGGTTTCTAGAACTTCTCTGGTACTTTTGGTGTTTCCTCTGTTTAAAATTTCGACATTATCCCAATCAAATTGGTTTCCATAATTATCTACATGCTAATTTGTGTTCTTGGGTTCGGATTCAAAGGGGACGCCCACCTTGTTGACCGATGTAATGTCTGTTACAGTCCATACAAATTATTTTGTAAATGGTATTAATTTTATCTTCTTTTTCTGTTGGATCTTTTGGTTTGCACAATATCGAATTAAGTGATTGTGCTGGTTGGCCTATGTGCCATATCTCTTTCAAACGGTTTTAATACTCTAGCTGTTATTTGAGAGATATTTTTCTATACATGGTACGATGAATTTCCTTATGGTCTTTAATGATGGTTTCTTGTTGGTGTTATGACTTGAGTTTGAACACTTTTTGATGAATTGTGAGGACATCCATTCTTTTTGAAGACGGTTGATAGGTACTTTCTCTTCATTCTCTTCAACACTGGGGTGCTACGGTGTGTTTGAAATCTTTTAAACAACATCTGCATACAGTTTATTTTATGGGCAACTGGGTTATTACCACTATAGTTGCGTATTCGGTCTATGTGGGTTGATTTTCTGTATACTTGTGTTTCTAAATTTCCTGTGTTAGTTCTCCTGATTAAGACATCTAAAAATGGGATTTTGTTGTCTAATTGTTCTTCACTCGTGAATTTTATATCTTCAGATATTTTTTTTATTCCTTTACCTTCCCAGTAGAACATAGGTCTTCAAGCTATAGACCTGAAATTTCTGTAGCAGTGGTGATTATTTTACAGGAAAGGGTTGTTAGCCTCATGCCCAACCTTCCCTCTTTACCAGTCTTATTACTGTTTTATTGAGGTAAAGGAGTGCATCTGCTGCCGGGGATTGAACCCCGGACCACATGTGTGGTCGGTGAGCACTCTACCACTGTGTCACCGACACACAGTCTTCAGATGTGTTGTTTATTAATTTATGGCTATATTCCAAATTATTTCTTCTAATTATTACAAAGGTATCATCAATATAGGTAGAGCTATTAATTCTAATATTTGCAGCATAACGGCTTCAGGTATTAATCTTGATATGGGCGATGATCCCATTGGTGTTCCTTTTATCTGTTCGTAAATATGACTATTGAAATGGAAGTATGTTGTAAGACATAATTCTATGAGTTCACTCCAAGTTGAACATTGTGTTTTTATGTGTCTTCATCGCTATAGAGGAATTATTGCATCTGTCTGTCTGTTTTCAACATAGAATTTTGCACCAATGTGCAGCAGTTCAAGTCGCCACTCTCCCTCCATGTAGCACATAAAACAAGAGAAGAAAGTAGAAGAAATGCAAAAATAGAGATAGTAGACAGGGATATGAGACAAAAGGAATAGTAATAACGAATAACAACATAGTTTCATTGGAAATTATAAGTCACAAAGAGTGGATGCATCTGCGCTAGCCATTGAGAACGATTTTGAGCCATATCACCGATTGTATCCAACCATTGGTTTTTACCATCCTGAGGACCCCAAACAATCAGGAAGTCTACATCTTCCTACGTGGCTTAGAATAACGCTTGTGGATTTCACTGACTGGTGCCATGTTTCGGTTTGACCGCCGCTAGCTCTTTTCCAGCCTAACCCTATGTCAGCTAACATTGCCCGTCGAGGAAGGCGATGACTAGGCATACGTAACACATGTTCTAACCATCTCAGTCTATGTAGCTTCACAGACTCGTCGATTGATTTCCCCTCCTTACCTAGCACTCGACCGATGCCTAAGCTCAGTATTGCTTACCCTACTATACCACTTCACACGGAAGATAGAACACAGGCACCTATGATTAAAGACAGCCAGCCTTTTGATGTCTTCCACCCTCAATGGTCAGGTCTCACAGCCATAAAGGAGGACGGAGCAGACTGCTGAGCAGTACACACGCTCTTTGATCGATAGCCAGCCGGATTTCACGTCTACTAATGTTGCATAGTTATTTTGCTAGTTTTGTATACTTATTTAGCCTGGATAATACTAGAAGTGACAATGTAGTCTATACACGGTTGACAGGGGCTAAAATTATAAAACTGCTTCACTCCAATTAAAAATACAAAATACTGGTGAACAGGTTTATGAATGACAAATGGAAAAAGTATAATCCAGACGTGTTTTTTTTTAATTTCCTTCATCTCTATATTCCTGTTTCAGAACAATGAAAAGATACCAGAAGATATTGTTGAAACAATGAATCCGTCGAAAGTGTACATACTGAATCAAAATAAAAGTAAGCCTACATATTTCACCATGTATTAAACTTTGTATTAGTAGCATTTTTCTAATCTCATTGCCTTTAGACACGATTAGATCAATTAGATCGTTTGTAACTATACAGCTTTGGAACTTCCGTTTCATAGCTTTCATTATCCATTTCTACACGTCGTAGGGGCAGTAGGATCATCCAGATGTCCACGGCAGGTGTTGAATCATTCCTATTACACGCGTTTTCAGTTGATTCGATAAGTAGAACTTCACTTTTCAATCTCTCCCTCCACCCTGTTGCAGTAGATTTTAAAACTGTCACCCTATCCCATCCGTCCTATTGTGTGCTTAGTTGTATGTAATTGCATGTAGTGCTATAGCTGAGCTATTCTCCAGATTTCTTATCTTATTAGGGTCTACTAATTTAGATTTTATTTGGTTCTTGTGCTCTGCTAGTCTGACTGACCGACCCCGTTCTACTACTTTGACCTATGTATTTGACCTGACAATCATTGCAGACAGGGTATTAGATAAACCAAATTGTTTTGCTGAACTGGCTCCACAGGCACGATCCTTGAACCGACAAAGTTTATTTCTAACTGAGTTTGTGGGCGATTGAATTCCAACCACTTTTATTCCTGCCAGCATTGTAAAGAATTCTGCGTAAGGTTTCCGAGATTCCTTCCTTGTATGGAATTACTACTGATGATTTAGATTCCTTATTGTTGGTGATGTCTTGAGCATGTTCGAGATGCATTTCGTCATTAATATCATTATTATTATCACTATCACTACTATCATTATTTATTTTACTTTTATTTTTACATTTCCCTACATACTTTCTGACTAATTTATCAGGTTAATTATTAAGTTTCAAGGCTTCTCTTATATGCTTATATTAACGACGACATACATGTCAAACATGTGCAACACATCACCAACAATAAGGAATCTAAATCATCAGTAGTAATTTCATACAAGGAAGGAATCTCGGAAACCTTACGCAGAATTCTTTACAATGCTGGCAGGAATAAAAGTTGTTGGAATTGAATCACCCACAAACTCAATTAGAAACAAGCTTTGTTGGTTAAAGGATCCTGCCTGTGGAGCCTTTAAAAGAAAACAATTTAGTTTATCTAATACCCTGTCTGCAATGATTGTCAGGTCAAACTAGTAGAGCAGGGGCAGTCAGACTAGCCGAACATAAAAACCTAGCGAAATCTAGATTGGTTGACCCAAATAAGATAAGAAATCTAGAGAATAGTTCAGCTATACCACTCACTGCATGCAGTTACACACAACCAACCATACAATAGGATGGGTGGGATAAGATGACAGTTTTAAAATCTAATGTAATGCCAGGGTGCAGGGAGAGATTGATAACGGAAGCTTTGTTTATCGAATCAACTGCAAATACATTTAATAGGAATGATTCAACACCTGTCCCAGATATCTGGAAAATTCTACTACCCCGACGACGACAAATAGGAGAGAACAAAGAGAACTATAACGCTCAAGTTTCGAAGTCATGTGATTACAACTGATGATATGATTATGAACAGTAATAAATTGTGTTCGAAAGAAACGTCATCCAGTAAATAATACTGTTTCTTCACTGTGTGATACATCTAATAAACAAACTAATATGGAATTACTTACTATCACAATGCCCAAGTTTTACACACATATTTCTTTGTTAAATTTTGCCTGCATTTCTTGCAAAGTCATCGCGTTTTTGCCGGCTTAACTCTCCTTTTTTTCTTTTACCCTATTTTCGCATCATTCTAGACACACCCTATGAGGTGCACAGTGCAACAATGCACATTCCATCGTCAAATATCTGGGAAAGTTATCACAGTGATTACAACAATGTAACAGATCCGCTGAAGAAATTCACTCATGAGAAAATATTCACCTATCCAAATCAAACAATCCAGCCTAAGGGGAGTGTTTATTATACGCAGTTGAATAAATTCTCCCCTGTCATCAACTCTGTTGAAATGGGATCATTATCTGGGCAGAGCGGTAGCAACGCTTCAAGCGATCCTGTTAATAACGGCGACCATACGCATAATACTCTGATGCGAACTGCTGCTATCGTTGATGGTAGTAATGATCATAATAATAACAATAGCAAACTCCTACTGACGAATATACCAGATCATGAGACAGCAGCCAGTCAGACTGCTGATTCGAAGTCCAGTCGTCCAGCGTGTAATTATGCTGTCTGTGCCAATGGTATTATCTCGGTATCCGATTACATGACGCTCAGTCTACACGATACACATAATCAACGCACTACTAAGAATATGTCACCGACTAATTGTCATTTTCTAATGAACGCCATAAATTTCGATCAGTACAATAACAGTAATAATAGTAATAATAATCAATTGACACGAAATTCCTCACCTTACATTGATCATAAACACCAACATTCTCATGTACCGTTAATCAATACCGTTTGTCAACAGAATCATCACCAACAACAACAACAACACTATCCTCACACTAGTTGTACACCACCTGGTCAGCGGTGTCAAACAATGTCGACAATGAGTAGAAAGTCACCAAATTTATTGAAACATTGTACAATACTTACACCAGTAGTTGATTATACTACTGATAGCAAAACTGAAATAATAAGTAGTATAAAGGGTAGAACACAAATAAAAACATCAATGGAGGAATCTAGTAATAATCGTAATAATAAGGAAGGAGAGGAGAATGAAAATGACGTCGGATGTATTCCTCATGGGGAGGAGGAGGAGGAGGATGAGGAACACAACGAGGAGTGTTTCAAAACTTCTGCTCTAAAATCTAGCAGTTTTGTATAGCTGTTTAATTACCTCAGTATTATAATTATAATTAACACTATTATTGCTACTATTTTATTCTCTATGTAAACATTTCAAATGTATTTCTTTTATTTCCCGAGTAGTATTTATTCACTAGCATTTAGCCTACATGGTAATTGGGGAGAGAAGGTGTGGATTTGAGCGGGTTTTTTTTCAAAATGACAAATGATAACAATAATTCGCTTTATGTAGACTGATTGACGCCATGTCTTATTTATGGATTTGTGTGTGTGTGCGTACGTTTGTCTGAAGTATAAGAGTTGTACTTTTTCGAAATTTTGATATTTTTCCTCAAGTTCACTCCTTCTTCTTCATGTTTCAAGTCAGTAAGCCAGCGTGTGTGTATATTTACAATTGCTTAGGTAAGAATCAAAGTGAATAAGACGTGGATCTTAGGATTAGTTGTATAACTTTCACTATTGACTTTTGTTCGTCCAGTTTGAATGAAAGTTTGTTAAATTTACATGTGTACTTTTTAATTTCTAAAAAACAAGATAATTGAGCAAAGAATATCTTTTTCGATAATTTCCTCCTCTTCTAGCTCTACAATTATATACATGTGTGTTTATATTCACAGAATATTCTAGAATAGTAGTCAATAACACTACTAGTGTTTTTTAAATAATATCGATTTGTAAAGTAAGATCACAGTGGAATTACAGTTCATTAAAGATGCTTAAATTATAATGATAATAATAAAAATAGAATAGCAGATAGAATATCAACTAAAACTAAGGAAATTTCTACAAAAAATTGAGGATTATTCAAACGTAGATGGCCAAGGTAAGGAAGATGTCTGAACTAGCTTCTTTTGGACACATAAATTAGGCTTCCTAATATGGATCCCAACAGCCAGCCTCAGCAATATTTAGAAGTCGAACTCTTAAGGCGAAGTTAAGATGGTATGCGGTAAATGAATTCGAAAGCCTCTTTTACATCAATCTCGTGTTCTGTATCCACAAGATGAGATAGAATAGCTCTACAAATGGATTTTGTTTGTCCTCAACTTAACCAAGCAAATGATGTTCAGAAATCCGACGAGAAACATGCCTAATTGTGCCACCTATGTAACTGGCTACACAGGAGCAGTTAAATTGGCAGATACACATGGAAGAGGCGAAATTAAGTAGTTTATCTTTTATTTCTGAATGCGAAATAGTGGTGGTTTTGAAGACAGCATAATTCAGCAGCCCTGAATGCCTTTTTTACCGCATTTCTAAGGCGTTATGTTAATATCTCTCTGATGTAGTCTCCGAGGAACTGAAGTTGTAAGAGTGAGGCCTTTTTAGGAACTGTTGGTACCTTGGGCTGCTTTGATTTTAGATTCATATTCTTATCAATGAACTTTTCTGGATAACCGTTTTCACTCAGCAACCCTGTAATATTATTAAGTTCCTCATCAAGATATTCATCCGAGCAAATTGCTCTTGCTCTGTGAACCAAGCAGTTTATCAGATTGTGTTTGTATTTCAAGGGCACGAAGTTGAGAAAAGGAGTATACTGACCCGTTGATGTATGTTTTCCACATACACTTTCTCTTATTGTGCCATCCTCCTTTCTGATCATAAGTACGTCTAGATAGGAAATACTAGAGTCTTTTTCTTTCTTAATAGTAAAAATTATTGCAGAATGAACGTCGTTAAATTTATCCAGGATGTTCTTTGCTTTCTCTTCATTTTCGAAAATCAAAAATGTATCATCTATGTACCGACACTAGAATTCAAGTTCATCAATAACATCTTTCAAAGGCCAAAAAAACATCGAGAAGCTCTGGGTATTCTGCGTAAAAATGTTAACATAATGAAAACAAGACCGGATAAGGGCTCAGAAGTGGTTATCATGAACAAATCTGATTACCTGAGAAGATGAATACTATTCATAACGACAATCTAAAATTCCAAAAAATCTCCTCTTCTCTGGATCCGATTGAAAAGATGGAGAATCAATTAGCTGAAACATTGAGAAGACTGAAACAATAAAGGCTTTATCTCACAGAGTCACTAGACATCACTGAAACCCACTGGAACGTTCACAGCAAGACTATATGGCTCGCCTAAAGTGCACAAAAATGGTATACCGCTTCAACCAGTATTAGATATGTTAAATTCACCATACCATCCTGTAGCCGAATGGTTAGTCGGACGCTTACAGCCCCTTCATACTGAGATGGTGAAACACAGTGTAAAGGATACCTTTTGGATTTGTTGAAAGGATAAAAGATTTAAATTTTTTTTCCTTCACGTTCCCCAGTGGAACATAGGGCTTCAAGCTAGAGGCTTGAAGTTTCTGTAGCAGTGTTTATTTTACAGGATGGGATTGCTAACCTCAGGCCCAACCTTTCCTCTTCACCAGCATTATTTCTGGCTTAGCGAGGTAAAGGAGTGCGTTGGCCGAGGATCGAACCCCGGACCATGTGCATGGTCGGCGAGCGTCCTAACCGCCATACCACCGACGCATAAAAGATTTAAGTGGTGACAATAAATTCATGATATCATTTGACGTATCTTCCTTATTTACCAGTGTACCACTTACGGAAACAGTGGACTTTGTATGCGAAGAACTCATATGAAGAAACATCGATGTTGGCATTCCTATATCTTTTATGAAAAAGCTTCTCTTGAAATGCACAATGAATGCTCACTTTTTATTTAATAAGGAACTATATAGACAAATTGTTGATGTGGCAATGGGGTCACCATTAGGACCCATTCTAGCCGACATTTTCCTTGCGAAACTAGAAAATGGGCCTTTGAAAGATGTTATTTATGAACTTGAATTGTATTGTCAGTACACAGATGATAAATTTTTGATTTTGAAAAATGAAGAGGAAGCAAAGAACATCCTGGATAAATTTAACGAGGTTATTCTTTGCTCAATTATTTTGTGTTTTTTTTTAATTTCTGTTGGGTTTCTTTATTTCTGTATTGATTCGGGGTGGTTTTTGGGTTGGGGGGAGGCGGTGACAGTGGGAGGTTGGCTTACCTCTAGAATCATATTAGCTTTGTTATTATTCCCTTGGGTTACGAGTGGAATATAGCACTGAAACAGCACATTTCCATCCCACTCTGTTCATTCACTCTCTACAGTTCTGTTTAGCCAGCACCACAACTGCCCATAAGCTTACAACACCTCACATTGTGCTTGGGCTACTGATAAGATTTATCAGTAGTATATAAAAAAGGTGTTCATCGGACGGTATAAAACACCAAATAGCAGGAAGATAGATTTGATGTCAAAGAGAAAAAAATGAATCAGTGTTGTGGAAAAATATGGGAGACACAAAAAGAAGACAAAGAAACATAATACGAAGGAAGGGTAGAAGTAGTACAACATGGGAGATCTGTGCACATGACAATTTTCATATGAGGTGTACATAATTCCACTATGTGAAGATATCACTAAGGCTAAGTAAATGTGTAGTGAAAACCATCAACAGTTCAATATTGGACCGTCTGGTCCAAACCGGGCGGCCACAAAGCTAGCCAGAGTGGAAGAACTCTTCTCTATTATCTACCGGGTGCCAAAATCATCGAAGCACCGCATGCTCCAAACAGCGGAGGCTATTGCAATTCGCCTCAAGCAACCAGCGCTCTGTGTTTAAAAGCAGCAAGTCCAGCCCCTACTACTGCCCTAGCGCTCAGTAGAAACTATAATATCATGAATTTGTACTATTACCTTTCCTAATTCTTCTGACATTCAGTTTATTGTTACGTTGATGCTTCCGAACTGTAATCTATTGATATTATTATTATTGATTCTATGTTATTTAAACAGCAACATTAATGTTGTCCATAACACCAAATCATCCACTACTATGACGTATATATAACTGTAGAGCCTGATGATGAAGAGGTTATCGAAAAGAGTATTTTTCTGTTCAGTATCCATTCTTTTGAAAATTTTAATGAGCATTTTTAATCAGATATCAAATTCTAAATAAGCATTCCGTTACAATGCGATCTCCTCTATACCATCCACGAAGTGAACGCCGAGTCGTCGTTATTCACTCCCGTTCCACTCTCCGGCCTGGTGTGTAAAGTCACTCGACGGTCTCCTCAACAAGTGTTCGATCTACCTCCATTTTCTTCAGCATATTAGTTAGGCGGCAGGTTCTTGTTTAATTTGCTAACTACCAGAATTTCTCTGTTGCTGATCTTTTCTGGTTGGCCATCTGATCTTCAGTGATGAGTTAACGAAGACAGCTATTGATAAAAATCTGCAGCCTGCTGGAGATGCTTTTCATAACTCTCGAACCAAATCTCTGAATTACACGGAAGAACTGACTCGACATAAATGCTGATGATCCAAACCTTGCTCCATTTGCTGAGTGCAGTTGATTTCCAGACTGATTTCAGACTAATGAGGGTGTCTTATTTCCCTGACCCTCATTGGCTTGTAAGTGCTATTTTTCTTTGAAATTTTCCCTCTGATGGTGATTGGTAATTTTACTGACGCTTAAGTACCTGCATCACCTCTATCTTGTTTATGTTCACCTAAGGTCATGTCTTCGCTGGCAGCCAGTCTCTTCTACCAATCTGTTGGCTTTCGTCTGTAGATCTTGAAGTTTGTATGGCATTAGACCTCCACAATCAGGAATGTCATTGGTGATAGTAGGCAACGTTGGCCTAATCCTTCTCGCCTTCACTTCGAAGGCTTCGCTGAATTTCCCATTACCAAATAACTGCTGAATCTACAATCCTCATAAATTTGGTTGTTATTATTTTAAACGAGACATAGAGACAAAATCTGCCGAACAGAAACAACTTTTGTCTTTTAGCTTTCCGAAATCAATGATATACTACCCAAATAATGGAGAAGATCTGCATCTATGCAGAATGTATTTGAGATATTATTGCGTTCAGCGTTTACATTTCAAAGCCTTGAACCTTCTTTCTAGACGTCACCTTCAGCGACAAGTTCAATATGAAGTAGACTTTAGAAATTCTCTACATATTAAATATCCTCCTTTTCTAGGCAAGACCCGACCGATAGCTGCTACCTTGACGTGGTTGTCGGGCTTGCATATCGCAATGACCCAACGAGGTACACCGTCTGGAACTTATGTTCCTGTAGCTTCTACCATGCCAGAAAGGTTGTTTGGATAGCGGTTAAACAAAAAGCAGCTACCCAATCCAATACTATGACTCAAACAAACTCACAAAATATCATGCCGGATCGGTCGGGGCCCGGATTAACAACGACTGCGCTTCCTGCTACTGTGTCACAGGGCAGAAGTGATAAATATGCTACTGAGACACACTAAACA